GATTGCTCCATAGCAAAATCGATCATATCAGAATGCAGATGTACCTGTTTGAGAAGAGCTCTCAGCCTTTATCTGATTGCTCAAGCAACTCCCCATTTTCTTACAATAAAATGAAAATTCAGGGCAAAAGAAAAAAACAAAAGAGCCTCCCAAAATAAACCTCAGAAGCCAGAAAACATGTAATAAAATTTCAAGAAATCAGCTCACTGCAGCCTCAAAAGAACAATCTTCAAGATCCCTTTTTTCTTTTCCTAAGGAACCCACAAAGAAGATAACTGAACTTGGACCAAACTAAATCAAATTTCATCAACAGCCTCAGATCTAATGTAAAAAAAAAAAAAAAAAAAACACTCAATTTATTTATTTATTTATTTTTTTTTCTCTTGTTCAATTTCTCGTTTTCTTTCTGAAATAAGACGTTTTTGACTAAAAAATGAGCAAGAGGAACATAAAAAGATAGGATCTTTATTACAACTTAGCACAAAAAATGAACAGTCTTGAAGCTGAAGAGCATGAAAAAAAATGGAGTTTTTAGAAGGTTTGGTGGATTTTATAGAAGCCTGGCCAAGTCTTCTGTTTGAGGGGTGAGGCATAAAGATGCCTTTTTGTTAGACCCTTTGTGGAGTATGCAAAATTTGACTTGGTTCCAAGTCTTATGATTTTTATTTTATTTTATTTTATTTTTTAGTTGAATAAGTCTTTATTTACAATTATTATTATTATTTTTTTTTTTAAGAAACTCACAAAAAATTGATATTGTTTTACCCAACATGTCCATATTTTACAATCTTTTGATTGCAGGTTAGAGAATCGGGGCAAGAGAGTACGGTCCCACGCATATTAAGCGTATCATAAGAGGGTGAGTCTAGATGCACCATAGTGAGGTTTCATCCCAAAACCAATTGGTGATGAGAGGAGTAACCCACTTGGTTTATATGCTAGACTCATTTTCCCTATAAAATTAATGTGGGACAACTCAAAAGTGATACTCCAACACGCCCCCTCATTTGTGAGTTCTTCATAAGCTCAAGCCCAGAGCAGGTCGAGTAGAGATAGAGACCCGCCCCCTCACTTGTGAGTCCTTTATAAGCTCAAACCCAGAGCGGGCCGGGTAGAGATAGAGACCCTAGCCGGGGAGCTGGCCGGGTAGAAATAGAAACCCAGGCAGGAGTCGGCCTGGCTCTGATACCATGTAAGATTAGAGAATCGGGGCAAGAGAGTGCGGTCCCACGCATATTAAGCACACCATAAGAGGGTGAGCCTAGGTGCACCATAGTGAGGTTTCATCCCAAAACCAATTGGTGATGGGACGAATAGCCCACTTGGCTTATATGCTAGGCTCATTTTCTCTATAGAATCAATGTGAGACAACTCACAAGTGATACTTCAACACAAGTATAATATGTTAATCTCGTGTCACAGTTGACGGATTTATTAATTAGTATAAAAATAGATATTTTTTTAGGATAAGAGCTAATTGATTGCTAAATGATTTCTAAATATTGGTGATTAATGTCAATTTGAGTTCAACAAATTTTGAAAGTCACCCCAAGTGGTCAATTACCTTCTTTAAAAATGATAAATATGAAATTGATTGATACATCAATAATGATAAATATGTTTTTTTTTTTTTTACAAATTCAAATTAGTCATTTTCTTAACCTTATATATTTCGCAATATGTTTGTCGTGATCATTTAATCACGTACTTTGGCGTATCATATCAATTAGGAGATATATTAAATATTCCTAACTTTTGTACAATAGGAATCTAATTAATCATTTTTACACGTCGAATCAACTTTAATTTACTGTTTATTTACACATAATTTTAATTAATCATTACTTAACAACATTTCTCTCATATTTTTAGATCAAATCAACTTTAACTGTTATTCTAATATAAAATAAAAATTTACTAACAACTAACTATTCTATTTTTTCAAAATTAATTTTGATTAATAAAAAAAAACTTATTTTGAACGAATATATTTATATACAAACACACGCCCAACTCATATTTTTTGTCCTAGTGTTTTTTTTTTTCAAATCCTAGGAATAGTTTGCTTCTGTATATGTTTTAAGAGGATTAGATCTATTCATAATAATTGCAGTCAACTGCTTAGAAACATGAGACAGACTGTCTCAAAATTAATTACTAGTATTAATTGGTGGTACTATTGAAGTTAAAGTCAATTTTATTTTTATTTTTTTAATTATTGGACTATATATTATATGTAACGATAAACAATTTGATATTAAAAAAACACAGGTAATATCTATTGAGATCTAATATTCTTGTTCATCACGATTTTTTTTTTTTTTTGAAACTTTTAAAATATAGAATAATAATATTTATCATAATTTCATCAACTCAATCTACAAATCGTTTTGATAATTGTAACATAATTTATATAATCCCCTCCCCCTATATATTAATCCAAAACGCGCTGAGCCAACGTAGCTGCTTATGGTGCTTCGGAATCCTAAGTGGCAAAATTACATGCTTAGTTATTAGACTTGGGTAAATTTTAATTTAATTCGAAACTAAAAATAATTAGGTTCGGATTACCATAATATGTTGATTATTTATGGTCATGTTACATGTATTAACTGCATTTTAATATCATTCCTTAGGCCATCTCCAACCGAAAAACTCATTCTCAAACTCATTTAGCAGTAACTTTCACATCAAACAGTAATTCATCTCCAATCAAAAAACTCATTCTCAAACCCAAAAGAATATTCTCAAAATATTCTCTTCTACATCAACTTTTACAATTTTCAATACTACCCAAATATTTTACAACTTTACAAATTAAACAACACTATTATTTAAATTCGATTTAAAATTTATAAAAAAAATAATTATAAAGGAAAAGTTATTAAAAAATATGTATTCAATAAGAATTACACATATTTCGCAAACATTTCAAATTATACCATACCATTATTTTAAACTTGATTGAAAAAAAAAATATATTATAGAAAAAATCACATTGTTCCTATATATTACAAATATTTTATTAAAATAGTGATAAATCATATCTAAATTTGTACGGTTATTTGAAAATATAATATTTTTATAATTTTGGGACTAACATTTTATAGGATATATATAGTTTATTAAATAATATTGGATTGAATTATAAATTAAAAAAATGATATTAAAACCATTATATATATATATAAATTATATTATTTAAGTATAATAGGTAAAAGTAAAAATGATAAAGCAAAGGACTAAAATACAATTTGATAAAGGTTTTTGCGTCTGTGAACAGGGAAACGCAAAATTGCGTTTGAAAAGAGAGAAATTGAGGGAAGAACGCATTTTGGGTTGAGTTATGCAGTTCGGTTGGAGGATTTTTTTGTGTTTGCGATTGGTTTTGAGGTACAGTTGGAGAAGGTCTTATTATAACTATTGAATTGTATATATATATATATATTTTAAAAGTTTATAACTTTTGTATTTTTTATCAGTTTTACATATGTAATATATCAAATTAATCTTCTTTTGATGAACTTCAATTTAACATCCATATTGTACGTATAAAAAAAGTAATTTATATTTATCTTTATAACAATAATAAAATTATTTTAATATTAATTAAAAAAACAAAATTATTTATCAACTAATATATTTATATTTCAAGTAGTTATATGATATAAGTTATAAAAACTAATATAATATAACACATGTAAGTCATAAGTAACAAATATCATTCTAAAACATATAGTAACTAGTATAACACCCGTGTATTACACGGGTGCTTGCTAATTTTTTTCTTAAAGTCTAAAATTAATGAAAAAAAGTAGTTGAAAATTATTAAATACTTTTTAAAAAATATATATTATTATATATTAGCATAAAAACTTTTTATTTGTGCGACTTACTTGTGTTATATTATAATATTTTTTAACTTACAACATATAACTACATTAAAAATAAATATATCAATTGATAAATAATTTTATTTTACTAATAAATTTTAATAAATATTATTATTTTTTATTATTATAAAGATATATATAAATTATTTATTTCATATATACAATATGGATGTCAAATCGAAGATCATCAAAAGATGATTAATTTGATATATAATATATATAAAACCGATAGGAAGTATAAAAATTATCAGCTTTTAAAATACATTTATAATTCAATAGTTAATTGAATGAAACAAATCAAAGTCAGAGATATATTAGTTAGTGACTCACTATGTAAAATTACAAATAATTAAAGGGTTATATTAGTACAAGTGATATTAAAATACCTAAGTTAGATAAATAATATTTATGGAATTTCGAACTTAGATTATTAATTATTAATATACAATATTATTTGTCCAAACAATTACGAATCATGATTCTTCGCCAAGTAGGATTCTGAAGCACCAGAAGCAGCCACGTAGGCTCAGCGCATTCGAGAATTAGATATAAGGATGATATATTTTTTTTGTAAAAAAGTAAACTAAATGTAATATAGTTTTCTCATTAATTTTAAAATTTAAGAATAATTTTTTAACAAGCATCCATCTAATACACGGGGGAGTTGTTCTAGTTATACAATAATACGCTTCACACGAAACATAAATAGATTAATTAGATCAAATAAATCACACATTATAATATTAAAAGTATTTTTGAAATAGTCCATCCAAGAACTCGTATTATTTATTTATTTTTTTTTTCACAATTATGTTACACATTGAGTATATGTTGTTAAAATTATAGGAGCTCAAAATGTAATAGAATATTAATTTTATAATAGAATTATCTATACCTTTTATAATTTTATAATAGAATTATCTACACCTCATGGACTTCGATTAGGTATTCTTCAGCACCATTCATAAACTTGAAGAGTCGAAAAGACAATGGCTCGTCTCCTTCGCTCTTGCGTTTATTGTGCGGTTTGTTACTTGAAGATTCGCCACTTTGGATTACTTGTAGCTGGTGTGGAAAATCAAGTATTTATATTAATTTGTTAAATAGCATGAGATGAATTGCCTTTAAATAGATCTTTTATTTCATTCTACATATGTTTTCTTTGAATTCTAGATATTGACGCTCTTTCAATACTAATTATGC